GTTGTTGTGTGTCCTTGCAATCTTCCATTATTTATTTAGTCTCCCTCAAGTAGGACAAAAAGTCAGCCCCCTCCCCCACATCCTAACCTCTCTTTCCCTCCCCCCCACCTACCACTCCCCCCGTGTATTCAGTTTATCACGGACCTCACACTCTCTTATCACCAATTCTCTCCGTCGACAAGCGTACAGTGCAGGGAGGGACTATTCGATATCGGTACTCGATACTTTTGAGTAGGCCACAGTTGAAGGGGCAAGTGATTATAATATGGGACATATCCATTTTTAGAGGAAAAGAAAAAATTAGGGTACAGCCCCAGTTGAACATCCCTTTGAAATCAATCAAGCGAAAAAAATACAATTAAGGCAGTCACAAGTTGTCTTTAAAAGAAAACAAAAAACAAAAAAAACAAATCGCCCACCAGCTGTCCAGTAGTACTAAACCCAAACTTTTTTAAAATTTGTTTTATTTCATGGTTTTTTTCTTAATCAGTGATAAAGGTCTAAACTAGTCTAGGTCGTATATCCTCAAGAAAATATTTTTTCAAAATTTTCAAATTCTAGATGTTGAGAAAAAAATCTGCGTAATGCAGGTGCAAGTTTTAAGAAGAATTTAGCGTGGGTTTTTTTGGGGGGTTTTTTTTGTGTGTTTTCCTCTCTGTCTCCCGAAAACTTTTTTTTTCGTTTAGGGTTTAGAATATTTAAAGAGCTTCAAGATTTTTACTTCACCCTGTAAACCCAAAGATGTAGATTATAATAATATTTTAATGCCAATGACGGCATCAGAATAATAATATGTACTAACGAGTTGGGCCCACTTTCGTTGAAAGGAATGGTCGGTGCTTTAACATCAACTGAAAGTCATTGGCCTACTATATTTACACTCTACTGGAATGGAGCAATAAATCCTGCGAGATGCAAAAAATTAGAAGGTTTGGAAAACATAATAGTGATGTATAGATTGATTCTCTATTCCGCTTTCGTGGATGTACCCTCCAGAATTTCAAAGGTATGGAAACAGTGCGCACGGCTATTGAACGGAAACCTCACTTGTTTACAATGGCGTCTTGGAAGACGGACTTTCCCAAGATTAGATCTAAACGAAACTAATGAAAAACAAAATTAAATTACAGTGACTTCGTAAAATTCGAAAGTTAAGTGGTTCGCCGGGGCGAAGGCTGACTTGTTTGACAGGGTAATCAAAGTGAAATGGGACCAGATATGGCCTGTAGATATCACACAAGAATCGTACTCGAGGCGGCGACTCTGAGTTGTGGATGAAAACAAATCTGGAATTCATATTGTG